TTGGTTTTAGGATTACTAATTTGTTTTGGTTTTAGGTTTTCTATATATATGGAAGATTAGGATCAATAAAAAAAGAGGAGAGTTGTAATTAGAGATTAGAGAGACTTTTGAGCATTGTGAGAGGGAGATATTGTGAGCAAGTTGAGTGCTTTGGTTGAGGATTAGTTTGTGAGTTTTGTGAGATTATAACCCTTTGTACTCTCCTTGATTTAGTGGAATCTCCCCCCATCCTCTTCCCGTGGACGTAGGCAATTTGTTGAACCACGTAAAATTAGTTTGTCTCGCTTTTGTGTGATTTGTAATAGCTTATTTAGGTTCCCTCGATAGGTCAGTCCTAGAACTGATGAGAGGAAGAGCTGATATCTCACTTTGTTGAGATATTTTGCTTAATGTTCTTGTTTCCTTTATAAAACAGGAATTCCTATTGCGACCTGACTCTCTTGTTGTGCTGCCGAAGTGCTGCTGAAATTTTTGCTTCGCGCAACAATAAGTTGCTCATCCAAGGCTAATCTTTTTGAGACAATTTAGATCCAATCTCTCTCTCACACACACACTAGCATCATTGTATGTGCATATGCACGTGTGCAAGAGACATAAAGTTTTTTATAAAAAAATGAATTTTTATATTAAAAAATGCATCGTAGAGTGAAATGCATTTTTAGTATGTACATGCATTTTAGCATCTATTAATATCATTTGTATATGTTTTGTTTTATTTGTTGCAGAATAAACTGTATGTTCCTAATGCACAAAACTTGTAATTTAAATATATATTTTATAGTTTGATATTCTTGGACTTTTTTTTTGTATACATATTTTTGTTTTTCCTAAAAGGAGTTTATAACTTTAATTTATACTTCTTTTATAATCTAAAATATAATATAATACATATGTAATTATATGGACCCATATTCTATGTTTATGGATCGAGGTATAGAACATTCTAGAAAACAAAAAAAAGAGAAAAAAGAAGGACAAAATGTTTGAATTATATATATATGGAACATTCTAGAAAACACAAAAGATAGAAAGAAAAAGAAGTCCTCTTGTTAAATTACCTTTTTACCCTTCTACATTTAGTACAAAATGGGAATATGGCCACCACTCATCCATTTTTTTGACTACCCCTACAATTTTCTTTATACATATATATGTGAGTGGGGTGGGGTGGGGTGGGGTGGGGGGGGTTAGTTCATATATAATCCTTGCAAGGTTACATTTCTGAGCCAACTTAATCATAATTTTTTTTTTCTTGCAATTTTTCTAATTAAGAGAATTCATTCTGCGGGGAGTTTAATAAATTGTCGTCTAGAGTCAACTTTGAAATTAGGTATAAGTATATAATACATCAAATCCAATACTATTCTAAAAGTGGCTAGGCATGTTAAAACATTTCTCCCGAAAATACCCTTCAAAACACATATATGCATACATATAAACACATACATATATATGCATACATTCTTAATAATATCATAACTCTCTTATTAATTGTCCACTAATATTAACTTCTATTTTTTGTAACCTCTCCACTAATCCAATATTAATGTCATCAAATCATTCATCATATCACATACATGCATGCATACATAAATCATACAATCAAGAATAGCCGTTACAATCAAGAAAATAGAGAAAACATAAAAAATAGAAAGATATGAGAAACTAAAAATAAAAATTTGATGAATTTTTTCCCAAAGAACCAAGTAAATGTTAGAATTAAGCAAGTTTGGGTAGTGGAATGGACATTACAATATAAGAGCAATCTTAATTGTTACATACCTACGAATAGACAAAAAATAGGGTAAATTTTAAAAAATTGATGGATGTGTAGTCACTTTGGAATTGATGGATGTGTATCTACGAATAGGTCCTTTGGAATTCCAGTAACTCTCTGGTTCTTAAATAAAGCCTTTCCATATCTGTAACTCCCAAACCATATTCCAAATATAAAAAACACTTAACCTTAGTTCCCAAACAACATTCTCCTCCTCCTCCTCCACTGACGCCATGTGTGAAGCAATCCGAGCCCAACTCAAAGAAGTAGGCTTTGTATGAATGCCCACACCCATCACCGCAAAGACTACCCAGACCGCTTCCGTAGCCTTGAATTTGACGAGTGCAATGACTACTTCTACGCCAAGGAGTGTCGCTCACGCGTGTGACTTTTCACCAATCATGCATTTCAATACAAGCATCACAAGGAGCTGTTTAATCGCATGGTTTGATTTTGTTTTGCTTTGTTTTGTTAAATACGATGTTAGTCTAGCGGTGTTAGTAATAAACACTAATTTTGTTGGTAGTTCTCGTACAAAATAATATATTATATGTTTCTTGTCCATTTTTCAAAAGTGTTGCTTATTGAATTTCACCACAAGGAAAAGGATCTCCGGCTGGCTTTGTTTATATTCTCGTCAGTTCTTGCTGTTGATCTTTGGTTCTAGGAGTTGTTCTTTGGTATTGTTGTAAATTGGGCTTCTTGGGCTGCTGCCAAAGAAAATATCTTCACTGTAAACATGAGGATCATGTGATTACAACGTAAGAGTCTAGATGTTCAAGTTCTTATTACATCAGATTACATTCTATTCTTTGATAAGGACAGACACGAAGTTTTTATTTGTATACTGTTGTGTAAATAGTGAAAGACAGTGTTTGTTGTTTCTGTAAGTTACAAAATCATGTTGTACGAGCAGTTGTAGTCCAAAGGTTCTGATTCCGTATGAGTCTGAACAATATTTCTCATTGTTGTTATTTATTTACGATCAATTTTTGGTTAAATTTTGGAGAGAATTTGAATGCATGTGAAGTGATCGGTGTACTAATTATCAATGTGAAATGCAAGCATGGGGAAAGTAATTAATATATGTTTCGGATATAAAATCTCCTCAGAATCAAAATTTAAATTGTTATGGATGATATGATGTACTGTCCTTTTCTACTCTTTTAATTAAGTTGTACCCTTCTATTACACAAAACTCTTGATTATAAGTACTTGACTCCTGAGATTCCTAAAGCGTTTCAAATAACCCTAAAAAGCTTTTAGGGAAACATTAGAAGAATAAGGGATTATCTGAGACACTTCGGAGTTTGGGGGCTAAAGTATCGGGATTATGTGGTCCTGTCAAGCGTTTTTACCAGGCCTTCCCTATAATATCTAAACTAAGAAATTCGGTTAGACAATGCTCATGGTCATAGGAGGTCGGATCTATCCAATTTCATCAGTATTATTATAATTTTTGAATTTCGATGTGAATTAAGATTTAAGAAAAGAAGTTTCGAATCACTGATTTAGGACCATTGTTGAATCCTACTCAACAAAATATGGAGGTGACAATTTGGAGTTTTAGGGGTTAAGTGGAAAAAAATACTTTGAATCCTACTCAACAAAATATGGAGGTGACAATTTGGAGTTTTAGGGGTTAAGTGGAAAAAAATACTGAGGGTATTATGCAAAGCACCTAAAATCATTAGGGGATTTTTTTAAAATTTACCCTATTTTTTGTCTATTCGTAGATATGTAACAATTAAGATTGCTCTTATATTGTAATGTCCATTCCACTACCCAAACTTGCTTAATTCTAACATTTACTTGGTTATTTGGGAAAAAATTCATCAAATTTTTATTTTTAGTTTCTCATATCTTTCTATTTTTTATGTTTTCTCTATTTTCTACTTTCATGATATTACTTACTCATTTTAACTACTTCAATATTTTCTATTCATTTCTGATTGAAATTAGAAAATAAATTCTTTGTTTTTTATTTCCACATTTCAGCAAATAAAATTAGATTTGACCAACCTAACATAATGAGATTGCTAACAAATAGATAATATCAACATGTAGATGTTAATAATCGCTACAATGAATACTTAATATTAGTTTTAATAAAAATCATTCTCACCACTTTCTGATGCTTTGCTTTACCTTTTTATCTTTTCCTTGGGCTGGTTTATCACTTTTCTATCCACAAAAAGATTTTAAAATATTCAACAATTATATCAACGTGCAAAGCACGTGCACTATACTAGTATATTTAAAACAACAGAAAATTACACTTAAGGAAACTTAGTTCCACATTATAACAGACTCCTTATTCTTTCTCAAAAACTGTGTCAAGGAGTATTTAATCGAACAAGCTTAATAAGTAGTTAATTGTGTATATTAATTACATTTGTTAATTGAAGATGCGGAAGGAGCCACAGAATGAAGGAAAGGATGACTACAAGCATTCCAGGAAACCTGCAGAGGTTTGCTAGAAAGTAGAAAACGTTGGTCTCACAAAAGGGACATGTGTCTACAGTTATATCTCTTCTTACCACAATTGGTCTACATTTACTCAGTTACAACTCTCACCAATATCTTTTTTCTCCTATAACGTACCTTCTTTCTCCCCAATGAACAACATAGAGAAATTAAGAAATTATCTTAACGAAAAGTTCATTTATTTTCACAATTCTATGACTAGGGCTTCTCAGCTTATCACTTTACATCTTTGAATTTAATAGATAGACCATCATAGTGTATGACCCTGTAAAAACTTGGTCAGAAAAATCATGTGATGATCAGAGGCATCTAATAACAATTAAGAAAGATATGATAACAATTAAGAAAGATATGATAATAATTAATTTAACTGAGTAGCAGTCCTTAGAAATATTAAATTGAAGAATAGGATTCATGTAGGAGACACTAGCACTTTGGAATAAAGACTTTGTTATTGTTGTTGAAGTTGAAAGATCCACCGTTCTTTTACTCCATTATTTCTCCTCTCCTCCCCCTGCAAGTACTGTTCTCCTCTCACAAACAACAGAGAGAAAATTACGGAGTTTATTAAAATAAAGGTAAAACAACAGTCAATGCAGGGAATACTTGTTTTATCTCTCCCTTTATTTAAATAATCATTTCCACCACCTTCACCTTCAACCTATTGGTATCTATAATAGTATTAATTAAAAGTATAATTATTGTTCTCAATCCTTCCTTCTTCTTCATCCTATCCCCCACAACACCAACTACTCTTGCCATAGAATAGTAAAGAGTAGAGAGAGAAAAAGGGAGGAGAGAGAAAGAGAGAGAAATCATGGGAGATGACAAGGAGAAGGAGGCCATGGTAGAGATCTGCGAAGACAAAGAGAGATTGTTGCCTGTCATTGATCTAAACGAGGATAAGGCTGAAGAGGAATGCAACAAGTATGCAGAAAACCAAGAGCAAAACAAAGAAGACGATGATAGTGATGATGAGGACGATGAACAGAGTATCAATACTGAGATTGGAGGTGGAGGGAGCTCAAGCAGCACAAATAACAACAATAACGAGGAAAGCAAGATTAGCGTAGGGAGCGGTGATGAGAGAGCTCCGACTGTGAGGCAGTACGTAAGGTCTAAAATGCCTCGGCTGCGTTGGACTCCTGATCTCCATAGCTCTTTTGTTCATGCAGTGGAAAGATTAGGTGGACAAGAAAGTAATAGTTCTTCCCTCTATCAAATTTTTGTTTAATGAATTTTAGGGTTGTTGAGTTTGAATTGATTTGGGTTTTTATTGGTATCTTTGTTGATGTTCTTTGGATGGCGCAGGAGCAACTCCGAAGTTAGTGCTTCAGCTAATGAACGTGAGGGGGTTATCTATTGCTCATGTTAAAAGCCATTTGCAGGTAGGAGAAAACACAGATCAAGCAAAAAATAATATACACCTTTTTCACTTAATTTCTTAGTAGCAATATTTTTACTTGTTGTACACTATTTAAAGATATATAATTCTTTTTTTTCCTGGTCTCTATTATCAGATGTATAGAAGCAAAAAGCTAGATGATTCTGGACAAGAAAGATCAGTCATTTCTTCAGGTTTGATAAGTTCTCGTAATTTCTATCATCAAACCATTATTCTTCATATAAAGTTAGAATTAATATAAAATTACTTTCAAATTAGTTTCTATTTCCTAACCTAAATCTCATGATTAATCAACAAGATTAATTAAAGTATTGGATACTAGTTCTCTTGATAGGAATAAAAACGAATGGATGAATTTATCTTTCGTTTTGATAAAAAAAATGTAGTTGAAATTAAATTCATTTGTTTCCCTCAAATGAAGGATTAATTTGATAATTTTAATAATTTGAGAATAATATTGTTGTTTCAGCATTTTCTTCGATGGACAACTACATGAGAAGAGGAGATCATTTCAACAATATGTTCTACCATAGAGAAGTCTCCCATCACCTTCCCTTCAGAATGGAAAGAAACATTCATGAAAATGAACGATTTTATAGCCTTTTGCAACGATGTCAATCACTCCATCATCCATTAGATGTCAACAATAGCCGTTTCAGGTACTGTCAATAATCTCACTATCAAGTAACTAAGCTTCAAGATTGGAAACCCTAATCACTGTATGTGACCATGTTGTGTAGACACCAAGAATGGGCTTTTACTCAGCAAGCAGGCACAAGAATTGGTTCGGTTAAAGAGAAGATAGTTTGGAAAGAAGGGAAGCCATTGGCATCTCATCTGTTTGATGTTAGAGATACAATTACTGGTAATGGGTGCTCAAGATCTATACATGGTCATTTTCTTGATGGAAGGAGAAATGCAGGGTTTGATTGGATTGCAAGTAGCTCAAAAACCTTGTCTAAGGATGGAAATTCAAATTTAGCTATGGCAACTGGTTCTTTATCTGAATGGCCAGGAAGAACCAATTTGAACAGCTATAAAAGGCTTCATTCTACCTCAAGTGATCCAATAGTCATCAACGACGGCATTCAACATCGCGCTGACTTGCCATTTCGATTTGGAGTATGGTCTTCACTCCTTTAACTTCAAAAATTTCCGTTTTGTGATTTGTCCGATAACATTTTTCTCCTCAATCTAAATTAAATTTTGAATTTTTAGCAAGTTATGGCTATCAGCCCTATTCCATATGGAAGAAAAGCCGAAGAAAGAAATATGGATAGATTAATTAGGAGGTAAGATAAACCAGACTAAATATGATTTATGAATAATAGGGTTTGAATATTTTAAGGTCCGTTGAAACCTAAAGCATTTATAACCACTCATGTCAAAAGCTTAAATTTGTGGATTGTGGGTTTATCAGTTGATGATTAAAATGAAGGAATCATTGTGGTCTTGATGGAGGATAGTTTTTCTCCTTAGTGATCAAGAATTCACCCTACAATTTTATGAGCTGAACCTTGTGTTTTAGAAATAATCTTTACAAATGTTAAATGTTTAAGGGAGAAGCAAGACGTATGATTTTTTATGAGCTGAACCTTTTGTTTTAGAGATAATCTTAGCCAATTTTAAATGCTTAAGGGAGAACCAAGTTGTGTATTAACTACCTTACTATACTACTAATTAACAATAATATCGCTAAGATTCTCATATATGAAGCATGTTTCCTTCTTTTTCAGCAAGTTCAAAATTCAAAGTTTAACGAGATATTTGCAAGAAGAGAGAACCAATTGACAGATATGAAGAGGAGGAGGATGATGAAAGAAAGTGATTCAGTGCCTAATTTGAAATTAGGGTTGAGTCCAGGATCAGTAGGAGATTCTGCCGATGTGAAAAAGAAAATCCCCGAGGCTGATCAAGAAGTGGACAGTGTGCTCTCACTCTCACTCTCTCCCCCAAATCCTTCGCCAAAGAAATTACATCAAATCGAGTTTCTAGAGAGAGGTACCAGCAAGAAAGCTGCTATGGGGACGAGTACTTTAGATCTGACCATGTCAATCAAGGCATTGCAGTGAGATCTTTCAAGTACTCGTCTGGAGGCATTCTAGATAAAAAATAGCTATATATAGTGATGAAATTAATAAGGTTTTAGCCCCATTGGTTATTTTGGGTACATGATCTTGCAGTTTAGTTATTAATTAATAGCCAGAAAATGGTCATTAATCAAGCTGGTGTAGTCACGAGAACCATTGGGAAACCATTTTAATGTTCTATAACGATAGTAAGTTATTCTCATTCTTGCATGATTTCAGTTTTGCGTAGAATTAAGTGCTGCCTATCTTCGTCTCCGTATTTCGATTTGTTCTTAGTATTAATTAACTGCGTTAATGTTTTATGGCCAACTAATTCTTACACATTCTTCATTTCAACTGTTTGCATCCATGCGTGATCTACTTGTATGTGCATCACATTAATTCTATCTTCGGCTTATTCCGCGTGATTGTGACAATCAAATAATTGTCTAGTTTAGTTAAGCCCTGAAGTTGGGTACTAATTGTAACCATTTTTAGCTGCCAGAAATTAACCATACCTTCCCTATAATTAATAGCTTAGAATACATAAAGCTCAGATTTACTGTCGACAATCACCAATGTGATTTTTGACACCGTAACAACTTCTTGATTTTAATTACACTGGAAGATGCATGGAGTTTCTTGACTATCTCATTACTTGTCAACAAGAGCTTGAATGCAGTTCCCCTAATTAATTAAGGATCACTCGTGTTTTTTCTTGAATACCAAACCCCATAGTGACAACATGGCCATCTAGGAATTTTTCTTCAGGCAAACAAATCTGCACTTCCTGTCATACTTTCTTGTCTATATATATAACATGGGAACCGGACAACCGGCGGTTCAAGGGTTTTCGGACCACCGGTCGTACAGTGGAAACGATCTACTGGATAGTTTTCTATTAGATGAGTCCAATTAATTAACTGTCGCTAATCGAAGTGAGACATGGTCACAGAACTTAGGAAGCACGGCACAAGCTAGCCTTGACGTTATTACCTTCGTGCAGGGCAATTGACTCCGTTAGAAACTTCTTCCTGCTTCCCTTTCCACGCCTTAGCTAGGTTGAACAGACAAACGGAAAATGGAAGTGTCAACAGCTTCAAATTGGAACCCTAATAATTATTGTGTTGAAATGGTTGGAGGGCAAGTCACGTGATGCTCTCTCGGCCGGAACCTCCGCCCCCAACCAAAAGAATTTATTCCTTGTTGCATGGGGCCCGGCTCGCACGTGAGATTGAGGGGAAACCTCACCAATTTCTTCTTAATTTATCCATCACATGATTTGATCCTTTGCGCTTGGGGAGTTATCTTTTGTAACGTGTTCGTGGGATATTTGATGTTGAATATGATGTAGAGAATTTTCCAATTAGTGTAAATATAATATTTAACACTGTGGGGCTCTTAATACTGATCCAAAAGATCCCGAATCGTCAGGTGGACCAAAGAAAAAAAAAATTTTGGTAAATAGGACAGGAATGCAACAAATTTATTAAGTAGAGAAAATATAAGAAAGTGTATGTAATTAAGGAGGAAGGGCGAGTGAGAAGTACAGTAGGATCAGATAAGAAAGTAAACTAATTTCGTTTTCGGAAAAACATCAATATAGGTCCTTAATGGGCTAGCCAAATTTTATTAATTTGGGTCCATAATATTTGAAAGTCATCAACAGAGATTCATAACGTTTTCTCTGTCATCAAGCTAGATCATTCTCGAGATTTTCTGTTATCTATTGCTGATGTGGCAGCTGAGTGGAATATCTTTTCTCTCTCATTTTTATCACGTAACGTGCTATAAGTTTTAAAAATGATAAATAACGTCGTGAAAGTTTTGAATATTACAAATATCCCCCCTAAAACATTCATAAGAAACAAGTGGTCTACTAAAAAATTTACAACCAATGCCTAAAAGAATTAAAAATTAAAAATAACACCCCAAAAGTTATATATTTGTATTTTTTTAAAGAACTTCAAGGGTTGTTTATAAAAATATTTCAGGGTCTATTTATAAAAAAAATCTAGGGGCCCATTTATAGTTTTAAAACGGCTAAATACTCATATTGGTATTTTAATTCAACCCCATTTGCCAAGAAGGTATTTTAATTAGGAAAATCGGCATTAAGACATTTTAATTGATTAAAATTACCAATTAGGTCCTTTTTTCTTATCGGCAATAACTTTTCCGACGAGAACTCGTCACGTGCGTTGCACGCGGTGGCTTAATCTGTGTTTAAGCTGCTGATGTGGCACCGTCTTCGATTTAAACGGACTAGGAAACGCCTGAACAAAATTATTCACAAAAATCGACCAAGAAACGGCAAAATGCAAGCAAATGGAACAAGACTCGTCTTGTTCCTCTTCATCCTCCTTCACTCCCCGTTCCTTGCTCGAATTGGGGAAAATCGATCCGATCAACGATCTAAACCTTTCTTCCTCTCATCCCTCGGCTCGAACCTCGAATACTTCGACCAATGGGACTCGAGATCTTTAGAGAATCGAATGAATACTGACTCGAGAGGGGAGATTGCATCTCTTACGGATTGGACGAATGATTCCATTGGATCGGCATGCGAAACCATCTGATGGAAATGAAACCCTAGATGATCGCAGAATTTGAGAGAAAAATCGCATGAAATTGATCGTGAAATAAAAACCTAAACAGAACCTGAGCTTGAGAAAGAAGAAATGGCGGAGGGGAAGTGGGAGGAGAGAGAAGTAAAGGGTGAGCCCGAGGGTTTTTTTGAGGACCAGAGATGGCCGAATGTTTTATTCTCCATGCCACATCATAAAACAGTGTCACATCAGCAGCTTAAACACAGATTAAGTCATCGCGTGCAACGCACGTGACGAGTTCTCGCCGAAAAAGTGGTCGCCGACGAGAAAAATGACCTAATTGGTAATTTTAATCAATTAAAATGCCTTAACGTCGATTTTCCTAATTAAAATACCTTCTTGGCAAATGGGATTGAATTAAAATACCAATATGAGTATTTAGCCGTTTTAAAACTTCTAAGAGCTGTTTGTATGTTTTCTAAACAAGGGTCCCCTAAAACTTTTCTAAATTGCCCCCTAAAGCTTTTGAAAATTATTAATAATTCCCTAAATTTTTATTAAAAAAAGCCTCCCAGAAAATATGCAAACAACCTCGGAAGTTTTGAAAACTATAAACAAACCTCTAATTTTTACAAGTAAACATTCAAAATGTTTATAGCACCGTGGAAGTTGTAAACATTACAAATAACTTTCGGGGTGCTAGATGTAATTTTCAAAACTTTCAAGAGGTTGGTTGTAAAATTTCTAGTACGTAGACCACTTGTAGCTTTTGAAATTTTTAGGAAGATATTTGTGATGTTCAAAACTAATAGGTTGTTTTCTATAATTTTTAAACAACTTAATTTTAGGGTGTTATTTAAATTTTTTTTAAAGATTATAGGGTGTATGGGGCAAAAATGAGAGAGAAAAGACAATCTGATTAGGTGTCACACTAGCAATAGATAACAGAAAATCTGGAAGAAAAGAACCTAATTTGATTATGGAGAAAATATTACCAATTTTTGTTGATGACTTTCAAATATTAAGTACCCCAATGAGCTAACACGTTAGGGAACTACGGTGAAGTTTTGTCTTTAGATTTCTGAATCAACATATATTGTCATTCTAAGACAGTCTTCTTTGATATAGAGTGATGATGTCACATTGGAAGGAAAATGAGCGTACAATTAGATTAGATGACAAAGAGTATATGCATGTTTGAGTTTATTCTAAAACGAAAATAGTGGGCCTCTTTAACCAAAAATACATAGTGGGGCTACGAGGTCTTCAATGGGCCTACTCAAATAAACAAAAATAGTGAGCCTCTTCTTGTACTCAGCATCGCTGGTGTTTATTATTCATTTGTTATTGATAGTACTTGGACTTTGATTGTACTGAAACCAATTGCCAGACAGCAAAAGCCCTAGTGTAGATTCTGCGATCGTAATGGCACAATATGTTATGTGGAGAGAGTAATGATAAGTGTATTATATTTTTTCATACTTCTTGAATACTATCACAAATAAAAGAGAGGTCATGATGAGTCACCATTTTTAAAAAAATAATAATAATTATACTATATTTATCATATTATTTTGACACTACCACAAATAAAAGATTAGGACCCTTCCTTAAGAATTGTATTAAAAAAGTGATGACTCATCATAACGCTGCTCTTTGATTAGTGGTAGTGTCAAAATAGCATGAAAAGTGTAGTACATTCATCATTAATCTCTTTTTTTTAACAATTCTTAAGAAAGGACTCCACTTTTTGGTTTGTGATAGTGTTAAAATCTATACTATTTATAAAAGAGAATACACATATCAAAACTTTTGATTTTCTTTTTTACCCTCTCCATTTTTTATAACCCACAATTATATTATTATTTATGAAACTAATGATCCATAAGCTCTCATTAACTATGCACCTCTTCATCTTCTCAAATATTTGGTCATTTACTAGAATACATTAATAATCTATAATGATAATAAAATTCATAAATATTTATAATTTTCTATAAATAATTATTAATTATATAAAGTAGTAAAATTATTAATTTAATAAATTATTGTATATAATTATATTGTAAAGAATATTACCTTGTTCAATAATTAAAATCATCTTAGTAATAAAAATTTAGAAGTTATAAATTAAAAATTATTTTATTTAGGAAAATTCCTTTATATAAAATATGGGATTAATTAAAATTTATTAGACATGTGCTTTTCTCTTGTTTTTCATAAAATATTTTTTCATTCACTAGAATATATTAATCATTTATAATGATAATAAAATTCATAAATATATTATTGTTTATTATAAAGAATTATTAATTATAATAAAATATTAAAATTGTTTATTTAATAAATTATTACACATAATTATAATTATAATAATACTATAAATATGGAATTATTCTTTATATTCTAAGAAATATTACATTCTTCAACGTTATAATATCAGCTTAGTAATAAAAATTTGACGTTATAAATTAAAAATACTTTTATTTAGGAAAATTGCCTTAAATAAAAATATTGGATCCTTGAAATTTATGAGACATGCACTCTTTGTTGGAAAGTAAATGTCTCATAAATTTCAAGGATCCAACATTTTTATATAAATTATTTTTCCTAAATAAAAGTA